ATGATTTATTTACACATAAAATTTACATAATACATTTACACAAAATCCTAACAATTTATTTTTCTATTTTCAATAGTTGAGATTTATTTACATTTATTAAAAATAATTATTTTTTTTACTTAAAAATCGTGATAAATCTCAATAATTAAAAATAGAAAGATAAATAATTAAAATTTTGTGTAAATATAATGGGAAATGATTGGTACACCTACTGGTTCAATACTCGGTTTAACACATTTCGATTTAGTCATTAAAAATATAATATAAATACAGTCAATTCAACCAGTTCTTGTATCCTATGTGTATGATTGTATCATTATACTTGTTTGTTTTTAATTTCAGACTAAAAAATAGTGATTTTTTAATAACTAAACGGAAAAGTATTGAACCAAGTATTGAATCGAAAAGTGTACCAATTACTGTCCAAATATAATATATAAAACTTATATACAAATAAACTGCTTATATATATATATATATATATATATATATATATCTTTTGAAATACAACAAGTTGAAAGCAAACATTTTCAAATCCCACCACATCCAAGAGATAAGTTATAAAATTTTGCCTGGTGGCTTAATTGAGTGGAGAATGACAAGGAAAATTAACATTGTATCATTTTGCTGGTAAAGATGGATGAACTTGACTTAAATAATAGTAAGTATTCTATTAATTTCATGCGCACGACACACTCCTTTCAATTATCTAATAGTAGCACATTGCACAATTAGACGCATTATGAGGACAAAACATTAGAATACACTACACTAAAAGCAAATTTTAGAAGACATCATGTAGCTCTTTTAATTTTAAAACACATTTTAATTAATGATATTTAGAATGGATGAAGTTATCAAAGTTATTTCTGGTTTGCAAGTTAAATATAATAAAGTTTGAAAATTCTAACCCATTGATCATGTGCAGTCTACCTACACATATGCTTACCATATCAACATTTTTTGAATTGATATCACCAATATAATTTGACCAAGAATTACGATTGAGACATAGTCATATTTATGGTTGTTAAAATCGTGATTTTAATCTTAAGATCATGATTTTACAATATTAAGCGGTTCAACGATCTAAATCAGACAAAAATCGTGGGTTTTAAAAATTCGATCAAAGATTACGCACAAAATTGTGAGATTGTGAGCTCATGTGATCTTAAATGATTTTAGAAACTAAATTATTTTGAGATTATGGATGATAATTAAGAATTTTAAAATTAGTTGTTCTTCTTCTCCGGCAACAACAGAATCTCCGTCTCTAGAACTTCATCATTGTCACTGATTTTGCCTTGCCGTCGGTGCTGCGTTGCCGCCAGTGCTGCCGCTTGCCGCTGCTGCTTGCCTGATTCGACCCGCGGAGTTGTCCGCTGCATTGAAACCAATCTCCATTTGTACTTGCTTTTGTCTTTTGGCTTTGATTTATTTAATTTTAATTGTAGATTAATCTTTTTAATTCTTTTATTGTGTTGGGTTTATTTTGTATATGTAAAAATATTT